CCCGGGAGACGGGAGGACGGGCTCCCGGGGGGAGAGAGGAGGCCGGCCCCCCGGGAGACAGGAGGCCAGCCTGGGGAAGGTGGGAGGCCAGCCCCCAGGAGGGAGGAGGCCTGATGGAGGCTGCGCTGAGCTGAGAGGAAGAGGAAGATCAGATCAGGTTGGGAGGGAGGAGGCAGGGCCCAGATGGGCCTCAGGGAATCCCAGGTCTGGGCAGCACACAGGCCCCACTGGGTGTTGGTGGGGGAGGCCCAGGGTCGGGTGCTGAGGGTCAGGAGCAGCTCGGAGAAGCGACGCCCCGAAGGCCCCAGAATGGCTCTTCATGTGTTACCGACACGGGGGACGGTTCTCATTCTTGCAACCTGTTGTCAGCACTGGGATCACCTCCATTTCAGCCCCGGCACTGCGGCCGCAGGGAGTGACTCACCCAGGCTTGGCGTGGGCTTTGGCGTTAGGCCCGGGGACCAACTGGGGCCTCTCGGGGCAAGTTCCTTAAACTTTTCGGGGCTCGAGTGACCTCACTTAGAGTGTGGGGATCCCGGGCTCCGCCTCACAGATTGGGGTCAAGTTGAGACGTTCTAATGTGTGGACAGCCTGGCCCCATGCTGCGCAGGAGGTACCCCGGCCTGGGCCTGCGAGGGAGTACCATGGGCGGTGTGGACCCCTTGCCGTCCTGGAGCAGAGGCTGCCGGGACTGGGGGGTCAATTTCCGTGGCTGCGGAGAGGGAGGTATGCATGGAGACCTTCCAGGTTTAGGGAAGCCAGAGAAAGGGGGGCCCTCCCCAAGTCTCTGGTGTCTACCAGCAGCTTGCTCACTGTGGGCCGTTTTGGAATCTGAGTCTCAGGTGAACCTCCGGTGACCAGCATACCATAGCTGCCGAAGAGCGCCCCACCCCAGCCCCAGCCACAGTCCACCAGTAGCAAAGCAGGGCATCTGAGTGGGAGTCCAGGCTCTTCCCTCACCTCCTGCCTCTCTCAAAACCTCCTCCTGAAGAGCGCTGACAGGGCACTTCCCATCCATTCCTTCATCCAAATAGCTGGGTGCAGCCGCTGCGCCCCCCTCCACCCCCACGACCTTGGCTCTGCCTCAGCTCATTGCCTTCACCCTTTGTACCTTAGCCAGGTGAGTGATTGGTTCTTGTGCTCACCTGAATCCTCCCTCCTCTGCTCTGGCCCCTTCCCACCACCTTTCCACCATGCAGAAGCTCTGCGTGGGGGTGGAAGGGAGAGAGCGAGCTCCCCCACCCCTCCCAGCTCTGGGCCGTGGGCAGGACCTCCCTAGCACCCGGCGGAGAAGGGGCAGAGAGGGGCAGGGAAGTCTGCTTCCACAGATGCCCAGGGGGAGGGTGCCATGAGGAGGAGCGCGTGCTTGGTGGTTCTGAGAGATGTGCCCCTCTGGGAAACATGCCGCCGTCCGGGGGTAGCGCCCCGGCAGCCAGTGCATTGCTTTCTCCTGTCGATTCCCGTCTCCCTCGTAGTTTCACAGGAACAAACTCATACACAAACCCTTGGCGTCGGACTCCTTCCCCTGCGGGACGTTGGGAAAGCCAGGGGGTTGCCTGTGTGGGTAGTTGATTTCTGTTTTGCTGAGGGGGTATTCCATGGTGCAGGTAACAGCCATTTCTTTAAAAAAAAAAAATTGTCCTATAGTAACATTTATTCCCTTATTTTTTATTGATTTTCAGAGAGAGGAAGGGAGAGGGAAAGAGATAGAAACATCAATGATGAGAGGATTATCGACTGGCTGCCTCCAGCACACTCCCTACTGGGTATCGAGCCCACAACCTGGGCACATGCCCTGACCGGGAATTGAACTGTGACCTCCTGGTTCATGGGTTGACGTTCAGCCACCGAGCCACGCCCGCCGGCAGGTGTACACACACCAGGGTTCGGCTGCTCTGAGCACTTGTGCTTACAAGTCTGTGTGGACATGAGGTTTATTTCTCTTGGTGTGAAATGATAGAAAGGAGGGGTTAAAGTGTGTGGTTAACTTTATAAGAAAGTGCCGAACTGTTGTCCAAAATGGCTTCACATTCATTCTACATCCGCACTCGCTCCATGTTCTCTTTACGTCAGTGCTGCCATCCTTTTAAAAGTTCAGCCCTTTTCATAGGTGTGTGGGGCTCATGGTGGTTTAGTTGGCATTTCCTAGGGATGGTGTTGAGCATCTTCTTCATGCGCCTGCTTTGCTGGCCATTTGTGCGTCTTCTTTTGTGAGTGTCTGTTCAGATCTTTTGCCCTTAAAACAGTGGGCTGTTTGCCCTGGCTGGTGTGGCTCGGTTGGTTGAGTGTCGTTCCGTGCACCGAGGGCTCACTGGTTGGGTTCCTGGTCGGGGGCATTTGGGAGGCGGCTGATCAATGTTGCTCTCTCTCTCCCTTTCCCAGTTTTGAGCGTTCTTTGTATCTTTAGGATGCCAGGCTGGCTGGCCTGGGAATTGTGTGCCGTGTCTTGAACAGTAGACGCTTGTAATTTCGATGAAGTCCAGTTTGTCAGTTTCTCCTTCATTGTCTGTGCTTCCTCTCACGGTGCGCGTGGAGGCCAAGGGCCATTGTTTCCACGTGGACATCTGGTTGTCCTGACACCCCTTTTTGAAGACCATCCTCTCGCCATCGTATTACCTACCACCTCGTTGGAAACCGGTTGATGTACAGGAGTGGGTCCATGTCTAGATTCTCTGCTTTTGCCGGGACTTGTGCTGCTATCCCACAGGTTTGACTGTGGCAGCTTCATAAGTCTTGAGATCAAGAACTGTAAATTCTCCAACTTGGTGACTGTTTTTCACATCATTTTGGCTCTTTGAGATATTATGCAGTTCCTTATACATTTAGAATTAGCTTGTGATTTCCCACAAAAAAAGCTTATTGGGATTTTGACCGGGATTGTATTAACCCTATAGCTCTATTTGGGGTGAATTGACATTTAACAGTATAGAACATGGTGCATCTCCATTTATTTAGGTATCTGTACTAATTGTCTATTGCCTTTTAACAAATAATCTTAAAACAGAACGGTTTAAGCAATAAACATGACCTCAGAGTTTCTGGTGGGTAAGGAGTTGACGATCGTCTTAGCTGGGTGGCTCCTGGCCTCATGCGGTTGCAGTTGGGGTTGTCCTCCGGGTCTGCTTGCCTGGTGTGTGTGAGTGTGTGTGTGTGTGTGTGTGTGTGTGTGTGTGAGTGTGTGTGAGAGTGTGAGTGTGTGT